ATTAGTTAATGCATTAGCGTATGTTAACTAATGAAACCTTACTGTAAAGTGTTACCTTTTTTCATTATTTTAATTATAATATTTAATTATAATTATTTATATTTTAGTTAGCTTTACATTCTGCACTAGAGTAATTAGAATTAGGCCATGCTTAATTGTCAATAAATTCTAAAATTATGCATTTCCTTATCTTGTATTATTTATATTTCTTATTTTTTATTATTGATTTATTATATGCCTTTTGTAATTATTTTTAATCACTTTTATGTTAATAAAGCACTTTGAATGGCCGTTATGTATGAAAAGTGCTGTGTAAACAAGCTCATTTTTTGATATATGGTCTGAATATGTACTTTACAGGTTTTCCGTGAGTTTCGTGGATGGGTTTCGCTCTCCGTGTCTCTGGGATGATGATCCACGGGAGTTTTCCTGCAGTATTAAACGCTCTGGTGTGTGAAGCTCAGGTAGGTCTCTCTCTCTCTCGTTTCAGGGCTGAACTGTGATTGTCATTAAGGTAAGGAGTCTTTTTTCCCTCCTCTTGTGCTTGTCTGGTGAGTGTGTTAACATCATGGAGACTCACACAGCGTTATTTCCATGCTGGACCAGAAATCTGATCCTTTTTGTTACTGGAAAAGTGACCCTCATCATTTCTGCTCGACTTTTAACATGTTTAAGGAAAACGAGGACTTTGGGTGGGTGCGTGAAAAACTCTTATTCGCTTCGTTACTTTTCATCATTTGGCCTGAAACAAATGGTGGCATTGAAATTTAATTTTGTTTAGAAGCGGCACATATTTCTAATTTAACATATTTTTGAACGAAACATGTTAAAATAGAATTTATATTTCAATATTTTTAATTAAAATTTAATTAGATTTTTTAATCATTACATGTGATGTGACGCTCATTAAGTTTACATTTGGACATTTTTAGGATTTATAAGATAAACAGATTTAATAAAAATCTAAATATTAATTATTGCAAGTTTTATCCTTAATGGAACGACCATTTTGTAATCCACAGTAAAGGCACACATTTCTAATATACAGTAAGTTACAAATTTATCATTTTTAATAAAAATTTTAATTATTGCAAAAACACATTTTTTAATATATGTAATTATGCAAAATTAAAATATAAATTGTGCAAAAAAAGCAAGTAATCTTGAGGCATATATTTCTGATCTAATATTTTTAGCATGTTTAGGTTAATATATATCGCCAATTTTAATAAAAATCTAAATATTAATTACTGATTTTAAGAAAAGCTCATTTATTCATGATTCATGATCTTTGAGTTCAGTCGTCATCAGGATGAACTGTTTTGACATGGCCCAGAATAGTGAGTGAGACGTTCTCAGTGATTAAGTTGTTGACTTATTTAAAGGGTTAATAAGCATTATGGGATGGTTTGCTGTTCACAGGTCCAGTTAAGGGTGCGCAGCTGCAGTGTGTTTGCATGACCACTGAGAGCAGCTCTTCTCACCTCTGACAGAGATCTCTCTAGCAGCCCACAAGGGAACCGGCCTTTCATTTACACACACTCAAACAAACTCGATATGATTCTGCTGTAAAACCATTATGCTCTCCTGAAACGTCCTGAAATATGACAGCGATAAGAGGAGACCGACCTGATCAGTCCCCGCTCTCATAGACTCCAAAATACTGAGACAGGGAGATTGTTCAGTAAAGATTTATCTAAGAATATAGTGTGTGTGTGTGTGTGTGTACACTCTAAAAAATGCTGGGTTGTTTCAACCCAAATTTGGGTCAAATATGGACAAACCCAAATGTTGGGTTAAAATTTGAAATGACATTTTTAACCCAACATTTGTGTTTGTACATATTTGACCCAAATTTGGTTTCAAACAACCCAGCATTTTTTATAGTGTAAGTGTAAGTGTGTGTGTGTGTGTGTATATATATAATGTACATCTGGAAACAAAAAGAAGATTATTTTAAAGTATTACAACAAATAAACTTAAATATAAAATTTAAGTTTAAAATATAAAAGTAAAAGATATAAAATTATTAAGAATATTTCTAGATGCAGAAATGAGTGGCATTGATCATTTGACCTTTTCACTTCTGTATCTTTTCTGTACTAGAATTTTGTAGAATTTGATATTCAAAATAATGGAATGGAAGTATTTTATAACTTCATGGTACCTAGACCTTTACCAAATGTAACTTTTTTTAAATAATTTTTATTAATATTTCTATTAAGCATGTTTCATTTTGATTTAATGACTTTTACAGACAAAATATTTCTAGTTCAAAGAAATCCTGTTCTTTTAAACTTTCTGATCAGCAAATAATCCTGAGAAATCAAATGTATCACACTTTCCACAAAAAGGTGACTTTGTTAATCATAAATGTTTCTTAAGCAGCAAATGAATCATCATTAATGATTAATCATGTGACACTGAAGACTGGAGTAATGATTCTGAAAATACAGCGTTGATCACAGGAATAAATTATATTTTACTGTATATTCACATAGAAAACAGTTATTTTAAATTATAATAATATTTCACAATTTTTACTGTATTTTTGATCAAATAAATGCAGTCTTGGTGAGCAGAACACTTTGTCTGACCTTTTTTAGCATGTATAAGTTCACATATAAAACCGTTTATATAAAAATCTAAACATTAATTATTGCAATTTTATTCTTAACTATATGAACATCCCTTATGTAATCTACAATAAAGGCACACATTTCTAATATAAGTTTAGCATGCATTATTTACCATTTCATAATTTTTAATTAAAATGTTAATTACACAATTTTTAGCATATATATGTAAAATTAAAATATAAATAAAAAAATGTGCAAAAAAAAAAGCAAGTAATCTTGAGGCACATATTTCTGATCTAATATTTTTTAGCATGCGTAAGTTAATATAAATCGCCAATTTTAATAAAAATCTTTAATAAGAAAACAAAAAATAAAAATATTGCCTGACCTTTTTTAGCATGTAAAAGTATATAAAACAGTTTTAATAAAAATCTAAATATTAATTATTGCGATTTTTATCCTTAACTACTGTATATGAGCAACCATTATGTAATCTACAGTAAAGGCACACATTTCTAATATAATATAATATTTAGCATGTATTATTTACCATTTCATAATTTTTAATTAAAATGTTAATTACACAATTTTTAGCATATATATGTAAAATTAAAATATAAATTAAAAAAAAAGCAAGTGATATTGACGCACATATTTCTAATCTAATATTTTTTAGCATGCGTAAGTTAATATATATATCGCCGATTTTAATAAAAATCTTTAATAAAAAACAAAAAAATCTAAATATACGTTTATCCCAGTAGAAATGTCCTGCGTGGGCATTTTTATTAGTTTATCAGCAGACATGATTTAAAGCGCTGATTGAAACTGCAGGCTTGTGTTGTTGTCCTCGACTCTCATTACCCCTTAAATCTGCTTATTTTCCATGCAAGACAAACTCCCGGCCTGTAATGCACTCCACCATGAAAACGAACCCAAACACGAAACAAAGGCCCTGTTTTGGCAGCCGAATGGTTTATAATTGTGTGTTTAATGTGGGAGGGAGATGCGCGCTCGGCTTGTGATGTGACGAGCCTGTATTGAGCTTGTGAGAAAGGAAGCGCCAGGAATATCAATGCATCCTCTGCGTAGATTTCCCGCCGAGAGTGACGTGCGTGTGGGGAAACCAGGATACTTTCCTTATTATGGATTTGACATGAACTTGGCCCCCGGCCCTGGGGAATGTGATGAATGCATTATTTGATCTTCCTGCCTTTGTTTACCTCAGCGAGCGGCCATTCTGCAACACACCGCTAGTGCACGTCAGTAGATGTTTTTAATAAACAGTAATCACTTCCGGCCCTTTTGATGGACTGCTGGAACAGTAAACTGCTCAAATTATTTTTGGCAAAACAATGGACTGAATTCCTGGCGTGTAAAGCAGGTTTTATGAGTTTATGAGCTCAAGGCAACGGCGATGCGGCGCGTTTAGCCGCTGACTGATGGGAGCCGTGACATCTTATCTGTGAATGAGGAAAAGCTTGTTTGCACGACGGACTTAAACTCTTAAATTAGCATGAAAGGGTTCGGATAACTTTATAACAATGTTTATAGTTTCAGTGAAATACTGTTATAGTTGTTATTAATATTTTGAATTAGTTTTTATTTTTCTTGAGCAGCAAATCCTCATATTATAATGATTTCTGAAGTAATGATGTTAAAAATTCAGGGAATAAATGACATTTTAACACATATTCACATAGAAATGACACTACAGGTGAATAGGGTCATTTTTTAACTAGCAGATATCAGCATTAAACTTTCCCAGTTGATTACCTACATTAAGATGAGAAAAAAATGTTTTCTGTAATTTAATGTTTAAATATGCAAATGAGGCATTACCTAATTAAATATGCACTAATATGCACTAATTTGCATATATTAAAAAAGTCACTGTGTTCACATATTAGACTTTTGTTATCCTGTAAATCAGAACGTCAATAGCCGTAAAAAGGTTTATTACAAAATAACATACTGTGATTTACTGTTATAATTTTTATTAATATTTTGAATTAGTTTTTATATTGCTTTAGCATCAAATCATCATATTAGAGTGGTTTCTGAAGACTGGAGTAATGATGCTGAAAATTACAGGGAATAAATTACATTTTTAAACACATTCACATAGAAAACGGCTGTTTTAAATTCTTACAATATTTCACAATATTTCTGTTTTCAGTGCATTTTTGATCAACTAAACACATCTTTGGTGAGCAGATGACAATAATTTGCTCAATAATTCCCCAAAAAAATAAAAATAGCAAATAGACTTCAAACTGGAACTCATTTAAGATGCTCCCTCAGAAGGCAGCTGCCTATGTAGACAGCAAAGCACTTCACTAGGCTTTAGTTTTATACGTTCAACCCAGTGACATAAAAACGCCTCATAAATGTACTCATGTTTTTTGTGTTTAGGGTCATTGTGATATTCAGGAAAGGCCCCCGATCTGCTGTTGTCAGGCCGAGCCGAGTGTTTCCTCGCTGTGATCCAGGGAGCTGTTGAGCTTCACTTGAGCTCAATGCTTCAAAACATAAATGTTAGAGCTGTTTCCTTAATGTGCTGTGCAGTGGAAGTCTCTCGCTCGTGGCCTTCGTGACCCACAGCTCCTGAACCTCGGCTGCCACTGAGAGCCTTAACCCACTGGAACACACACCGGAAACGCTACAGGAACACACTGCATGCAGTGGGAAGGTTTCCACTACTGTGCTGAATGCTAATGGTGTTACTATGGAAGCTTGTGTCCGCCACAGAATGATAAATAAAAAAGGTAATTGCGACTTTTTATCTCACAATTGCGAATTTACATCTCGCAATTCTGAGAAATAAAGTCAGAATTGTGAGATTTAAAGCGAAATGTAGCGGAAGCAAAATATAGTCGCATGTGTGTATAAATTTGTGTGTGTAAATATGTGTTAAGTCCGAATTTCGTGTTATAAAGTCCGAATTGCGTGATATAGTCGCAATTGTGTTTTAAATTGCGCGAGTTGCCACTATATCTCGCAATTCTGACTTTATAACACGCAATTGTGACATTATATCTTGCAATTCTGATTTTATAACACGAAATTCTGACTTTATAACACAATTTTGTGTGATATAAAGTCGCAATTGCGTATTATAAAGTTAGAATTGCGTAATAAAAAAGAATTGCTTGAATTGCGACTATATCACGCAATTCTGACTTTATAACACGCAATTGCGACATTATATCTTGCAATTCTGACTTTATAACACAATTTTGTGTGATATAAAGTCGCAATTGCGTATTATAAAGTCAGAATTAAGTAATAAAAAATAATTGCGTGAATTGCGACTATATCACGCAATTCTGACTTTATAACACGAAATTCTGACTTTATAACACAATTTTGTGTGATATAAAGTCGCAATTGCGTGTTACAAAGTCAGAATTGCGTAATAAAAAATAATTGCGTGAATTGCGACTATATCACATAATTCTGACTTTATAACACAATTTTGTGTGATATAAAGTCGCAATTGCGTATTATAAAGTTAGAATTGCGTAATAAAAAAGAATTGCTTGAATTGCGACTATATCACGCAATTCTGACTTTATAACACGCAATTGCGACATTATATCTTGCAATTCTGACTTTATAACACAATTTTGTGTGATATAAAGTCGCAATTGCGTATTATAAAGTCAGAATTAAGTAATAAAAAATAATTGCGTGAATTGCGACTATATCACGCAATCCTGACTTTATAACACGAAATTCTGACTTTATAACACAATTTTGTGTGATATAAAGTCGCAATTGCGTATTATATAGTCAGAATTGCGTGATAAAAAATAATTGCGTGAATTGCGACTATATCAAGCAATTCTGACTATATATCACACAATTCTGACTTTATAGCACGCAATTCTGATGTGTGTTATAAAATCAAAATTTCATGATATAAAGTCAAAATTGTGAGATATAAAGTCAGAATTGTGTGTTATAAAGTCAGAATTTCATGATATAAAGTCGCAATTGCGTGAAATAAACTATTCTGTGGGGAAAAAGTTAGTCTTTTTTTCCCCTTAGAATTGACCTGATAACTTGCAATTGCGAGTTTATATCTCACAATTCTGAGAAAAGATGTCAGAGTTTCGAGATATAAAATTATGTGTTATAAAGTCAGAATTGCGAGATAAAAAGTCTCAATTCTGTCTTTCTTTCTCGCAATTGCGACTTTATTTCTCAGAATTGCGACTTTATATCTCACAATTCTGACTTCATATCTCGCAAATGTGAGATAAAAAGTCGCAAATATTTTTATTTCATTTTTTTTATTCAGTGGCGTTCCATATGTTACACAATCCGTGTAAATCCGTTATCGTTAGTGTTAAAGCCGGCGGAAAATGGCATTCGCACCCCGTTTTACTTCGGTAATGTGGCGTATTTCTGTGAAGCCGGATGTCGGGCGGGAATTGATTGGATGGTTTAAAAAGGGGCGTGGCTGAAAAAATTGGCATCATTTCAGAGACATCCTCCAAAACATATTTTAAGGCCTACATTTATGATTATGTATTTAAATTGCATGTAAAGTTTTCCATCCATTTGGATTGCACAGTTTTAACATAAACTACTAAAATGAATGTGTTGATGCATATTTGTCAGTTCTGTCATAGTACTAATAAAGTGTATGTGTTTTAAATACACAATGATAAGGTTTATATTTATCATCAAAAAATCCAATTTGTTGCACACTAATAAATCGTGCAAAATAAGAACAGAAACGCATATTAGGAAAGGCGACGATTTTGACTTTAATGCGAATAAATACTTCTCAAACCTCTAAGCGTGATCCCGGAGTGAGTATCGAGTCAGTTGTGGGACATTATGGATGTGTTGCATTGCTGCGTTCGATGGGATTTTGGATGGAGTGTTTTAGTGATTGGTGGGATCTCATATGTTTCACAAATATCCCAGCGCGATGCACATCTGGAGAAGCGCGCAGGCCTGAGATCAGGTCTCTAATGCAGGTGCATGTTCGCTATTAACGGGTAAATTCGGGGTAACAAAATAATAAGATGAAAAATTGAAAAGGATTTGGCTCTTTTCACTCGCAAAACATGTGCTGGATGAAATATGCAGACTTTCCCCTGTCAGCTTTAACGTGATGGAAATGTGCTCGCTTCCTCCCGGTGTGGATCATCCCTGTGGACGACGCTCAGATTTCATTTCCTTGTCATGAAGGGGCCCTCGTGTGCAGTTTTGGCCCGTTTTTCTGATGTCCTGATGCGGTTTTCTCCTCCCCTGGATGTGACAGCGCTGTCGACCGCGTGGCCTCTTTACTCGTCTTCATAAATCACTCAAATCCAGAGGCCCACCCTTGGGTTTGCAGTGCCAGCGTGGACAAAAGCTCTCTGTAGGAATAAGAAACGAAACCGCTTCGCCTCAAAACACCAGCTTTGCGCAAAACCACTAATGACCCTGGAATCGCCGAAAACGCGTCCACTTTTATTGCATGTTCCAGGACAGATCGTCAACCAATCAGACGCTTGGACGCTTGACATGAAACAAGATAATCACACATTCTGGTCAACAGGCCATTCGAGTAAAATGGAGTTGAGTTTGAGGTCCGGCCATAATACGGCTGCCGTTCCAGCAGTTTCTTGGAAGTGTAGTAAATTTCTCTGTGCACTTTTTTTTTTTCTCGTCTCAAGCTCTCTCTCTCTCTCTCTCTCTCTCTTGCTCCCCAGTGATCCATCATTTGGGCGTGGAGTTGAGCCTCTTCAGCGATCTGATCCTGGTGACATGATGCTGGACACTCGTATGTCAGGCACAACTTAAACCCAAATAACTTCATCCCTTCAAACACCGAATGTGAGAAAAAAGGTGTGGTAAAGAAAAGAAAACAAAAACTGATATCACTTCCAGCAATGTGAAATATATATATATATATTAGGGCTGTTGATTTCAATCAATCAATCAATCAATTTAAGAGTCTTAAAGGATTAGTCCACTTTTGCTGATAATTTACTCACCCCCATGTCATCCAAGATGTCCATGTCATTCTTTCTTCAGTCGAAAAGAAATTAAGGTTTTTGATGAATATTTTCTCCATATAATGGACTTCAATGGGGACCAAACGGTTCAAGGTCTAAAAGATTTTAAACGACACCAGACGATGAATAAGGGTCTTATCTAGTGAAACGATTGGCCATTTTAAACAATAAATAAAAAAGTTTAAGTTTAATAAGCACAAATGCTCGCCTTGCTCTGTTCTGTGATGTGCGTTCGTGACTCGAAATGAATGAAAATGACTCGAATGGGTTGATTCAATGAACGAAATGACTCGAAAAAAGATTTGTTAATTTTTATGGTATTTTTGGTCATTATAAACTATTTTATTTCAGTTTCATTCGTTAAAATAGTTAATGATCACAACTATTATTATTTTCTGAGCCAAATTTGACTGAACCATTTACAGAAATTATGACAAATACCACAAAAAAGGATTTCATGTGATACGTGAAAGCAACAAAAAAAAGTTAGGATATTATATTTTTTTCCCAGTGAGATTCATCCACCATGTAGCTCCATAAAATTATAAAGAAGGGTAAATCCTCTTCCTCGGGGTACTGTAGATGAATCAGGGCTTTCACTGCCGATGGATCATGACACACATATTCTGTTACCACAAATGTCGTTTGCTGGAGTTTAAAAGCAACATTTTTGGTTTTTAATTCCATGCTGGTTTGCAAAGGCGAATCAATCTTTCATTTTCAGGATTTAACTGGCATGGTCAGAAGCAGATTTTGTTATAGTACACCCTCCTCTTAAAGGGATATTCACCCTAAAAAGTAAATTCTGTCATCAGTTACTCACACTCACGTCTCTCCAAAACAACATGACTTTCGTTTTTCATTAGAACACAAAAGAAAATCTTATCAGATCTCATTCATGGTCATGCATACCGGTATTCAAAAATGCGTAACCAGTTGTGATGTTGAACATCACCGGTTTTCCTGTATATACTGTATATACACTAAATTTCAATAATATATGTCATGATACACAAATTCAGTTTAAATCTAGAGGAGAATTATCGGTGAATAAAAACGTACATTTTGCTTTTATATGTTATCGTACAACTTAAGCTCGCATTATGGCACTTTTATGATGTCCTTTTTGGGGCTTAATGATACAAAAGAAAATCGTATGGGTTTGAAATGACACATGGATGAGTTAATGTTTCGAATGAGGAATATTGCATTTGCAATCATTTCCACCCCATTTGTTCAAGAGAACAAAATCGTAATTTACTGGGAAAGTGGCACAAAGCATCAATAATAAAATAACAAAACGTTTAAATTTTACAAGTACTGGTCAAAGTGGCTAAGGTATACGAGTAGGGATTGAACAAAAGGAGATACTGTGAGTGTTATTTCCTCTCTCTTTTTATTTATTATTATTTTTTATTTATTATTTCCTCATTTACATTTGATTGATAATACTATATTGAGAACCCTTTTTTTTTTCTTCAGATGTACAATACTTGCCCAATGAAAATATTCTGGCTTGTATGTTGTATGATGGGACCCTGAACCTTTTATTGACTTGAAAGGACAATTATAATTTTTCCCCTGATGTTACTATAAAGGAAGGAAAGGGGAGGGGGTATGGGGAAGAAAAGGGAACCCCTGATTTGATATTAACATAATGTTAATGAAAGTTTGTGTATAACATAATTGTATGTTACACCCCTAGTGACCGGTTTGTTCTGTTCTGTTCTGTTTTTTTTTTTTTGTGTGTGTGTTTTATAAAAATCGATATAAACCAATAAAAAATAAAAGTTTTAAAAAAAAATAACAAAACGTTGCTGTAACTAGTGACCCCCACCATGAAATAAATTGTGCATTATACCAAATCACACTCAGGCATTTCATAATGAAAAAAACAATGTTTTGCATGGTGTGCAATAAAATTGATCAGCTGGTTTGTCCAGTTATCCAATCAAATGACACTTTCTTGTTGTTGTTGCACATCCAGGAATTTATTTGGTAAGTGTGTTTTCATTGTAATTTATGTGCATACTTTTTTCATTCAATAAGAAAACATGCCATTTGAGATTTTTTAATATAATTTTTTTTAATGATTTATTTTTATTTTTATCTTCTTAAATATATTTTATATAGCACTTTCCACAGTATAGATTGCAATCAAAACATAATAACAATGTTCGTTTCTTAGTGAAAAAACACTAAGTATTAAACACTGTCTTTATTGATTTTAGAAACAATAACATAAAAATAAATATTTTTTATGCACATTTTAATTTGAATTTTAATTCCATTCCATTCATTCTAAAATTCCCATAAAAATAGGTGGCGATGGAAACCAATAGCGGATGATGACAGAATTGCTTTTTTCGGTTCTTTAAACACATTAGGGTTAACATCGCACCGACTGCAGGAAAACTGCTTTCAGCATGCAGGCCTCACACGCTACAAACAGATGGGAGACAATAAGTGGGGGGAAAAAAGAAAAAAGATCAGGATTAATTAGCACGTTTGTCAGTTTGCAGGAAACACAGTATCGGTTTCATGCTCTTCGCATTTGCCCAGCACCTGTTGTACATGATGATTAGGGCGATGTCTACGGGTGGCTCGTAGAGTGGGTGAATGAGTGTGTGTTGGTGAGCAACAGGAGGGGCTTTTGTCATATTTATATCAACAATGTCGGACAAAACACTCTAATTATCCCCTTCTGGCCCGGCTCGTCTTACAGGTCCCAGTCCATTTGCTGTCCTGTCCCAGAGCCAGACTCCACAGTCCTTAAGCACATCCTAATGACAGCTCTCTTTCAGTCCACAGGCTTTATAATTGCACAGGCTAACTTACAGACATTATGTGGCATTAGTCCAGAGAGCTCATAAAGGGGGGTCACAGGCCGATCACAATGCATGTGGCCTCAATAAATCTCCTAAGTGACAACAGCGAGAGGTCATATTGCTCAGATTGTTGAGTGGACTAGATCAGCCCGACCGGAGCGCCAGAGGGAAGCCCAGATTCATATTTTATGATCCAAAAATATCTGAATCGTATTGAGTTGTATTGCAAAAAAAAAAGTACAAAGTACCCTTGGGCTGTACTGACCATAAATACAAAATATGTGCAAAGAAACAGTTTGTAATATTAACTTTAGATATCGGTCACCATATCGGTATCAGCCGACATCATTTTTAATGTTATCGGCCTTGTAAGAAAATTTGGTCGATATATTAAAGCTAATAAATGATGTATTTTTCCTCCAGCTGAGACACTTCAGATGCGACTGTTCAACATGATGGGTTTAAATAGCTTGAAATATGACTGGAATCACTTTAAAAAAGAAAAATACAGTAAAGTATAAAATGTGCATCGCAAGTCTGTCACGTCGGCTACATGAAATTACATTAAGAACATTATAATTGTGTGTTTCGGACGTGGCTTTTAATGATTTAGACTTTTGTTTTTGTAATCAGGCTCTAAAAAATTATAGAAACATTTTGGTTTAGATTTATCGGCCAATATATCGGTTATTGGCTTTCAGATATAAGGAATTATCGGTTATCGGCTTTCAGATATAAGGAATTATCGGTTATCGGCTTACAGATATAAAGGATTATCGGTCATCGGCTTTCAGACAAAGAATTATCGGTTATCGGCTTTCAGATATAAGGAATTATCGGTTATCGGCTTTCAGATATAAGGAATTATCGGTTATCGGCTTTCAGATATAAGGAATTATCGGTTATCGGCTTTCAGATATAAAGAATTATCGGTTATCGGCTTTCAGATATAAAGAATTATCGGTTATCGGCTTTCAGATATAAAGAATTATCGGTTATCGGCTTTCAGATATTAGGAATTATCGGTTATCGGCTTTCAGATATAAGGAATTATCGGTTATCGGCTTTCAGATATAAGGAATTATCGGTTATCGGCTTTCAGATATAAAGAATTATCGGTTACCGGCTTTCAGATATAAAGAATTATCGGTTATCGGCTTTCAGATATAAAGAATTATCAGTTATCAGCTTTCAGATATAAAGAATTATCGGTTATCGGCTTTCAAATATAAAGAATTATCGGTTATCGGCTTTCTTATATAAGGAATTATCGGTTATCAGCTTTCAGATATAAAGAATTATCCATTATCGGCTTTCAGATATAAAGAATTATCGGTTATCAGCTTTCAGCTATAAAGTATTATTGGTTATCGGCTTTCAGATATAAAGAATTATCGGTTATCGGCTTTCTTATATAAGGAATTATCGGTTATCGGCTTTCAGATATAAAGAATAATCGGTTATCGGCTTTCAGATATAAAGGATTATCGGTCATCGGCTTTCAGATATAAAGAGAATTATCGGTTATCGGCTTTCAGGTATAAAGTATTATCGGTTATCGGCTTTCAGATATAAAGAGAATTATCGGTTATCGGCTTTCAGATATAAAGGATTATCGGTTATCGGGTTTCAGATATAAAGGATTATCGGTTATCGGCTTTCAGATATAAAGAGAATTATCGGTCATCGGCTTTCAGGTATAAAGAATTATCGGTTATCGGCTTTCTTATATAAGGAATTATCGGTTATCAGCTTTCAGATATAAAGAATTATCCATTATCGGCTTTCAGATATAAAGAATTATCGGTTATCAGCTTTCAGCTATAAAGTATTATTGGTTATCCGCTTTCAGATATAAAGAATTATCGGTTATCGGCTTTCAGATATAAAGGATTATCGGTCATCGGCTTTCAGATATAAAGAGAATTATCGGTTATCGGCTTTCAGGTATAAAGTATTATCGGTTATCGGCTTTCAGATATAAAGAGAATTATCGGTTATCGGCTTTCAGATATAAAGGATTATCGGTTATCGGGTTTCAGATATAAAGGATTATCGGTTATCGGCTTTCAGATATAAAGAGAATTATCGGTCATCGGCTTTCAGGTATAAAGAATTATCGGTTATCGGCTTTCTTATATAAGGAATTATCGGTTATCAGCTTTCAGATATAAAGAATTATCCATTATCGGCTTTCAGATATAAAGGATTATCGGTCATCGGCTTTCAGATATAAAGAGAATTATCGGTTATCGGCTTTCAGGTATAAAGTATTATCGGTTATCGGCTTTCAGATATAAAGAGAATTATCGGTTATCGGCTTTCAGATATAAAGGATTATCGGTTATCGGGTTTCAGATATAAAGGATTATCGGTTATCGGCTTTCAGATATAAAGAGAATTATCGGTCATCGGCTTTCAGGTATAAAGAATTATCGGTTATCGGCTTTCTTATATAAGGAATTATCGGTTATCAGCTTTCAGATATAAAGAATTATCCATTATCGGCTTTCAGATATAAAGAATTATCGGTTATCAGCTTTCAGCTATAAAGTATTATTGGTTATCCGCTTTCAGATATAAAGAATTATCGGTTATCGGCTTTCTTATATAAGGAATTATCGGTTATCGGCTTTCAGATATAAAGAATTATCGGTTTATCGGTATCAATCAAAATATTCATATCAGTGCATCCCTAATTGTATATTTTAAAATCTTTAAATTTATATGTAAAAAGTCACTGATTTGAAAAGTTAGTATTAAAATTACACAGAAAAAGTGGCAGGTCTATTATTTTGCATTTACACTAGGATCACGTTGTTCCGTCCATTGCTATAGTTATCACTGTCAATTCATACAGTATATGTGTGTGTGTGTGTGTGTGTGTGTGTGTGTAAATAAATAAATAAATAAATAAAAATGCAGATTTTCTTTTTTTTTTACGTGGCGGTTCAGGGCTTCCATAGAAAACACATCGTAATATGTCATGAATTTGGGGAAAAATTGCTAAATTGTCTTGGAAATGGTGTCACAATGCAAAAATGCAGATTTTTATTTCTATATTAAAATATATACTGTTTTTTCTTTTGTTTTCGGAGTGAAATAATATATGACCTGATTAAATTTCTTTTTCTTTTATCTATAATAAAATGAAAATATGGAAATGTAAAATACATAACCTATTTCTTCAATTGTGTAATCAGCAATTGTGTTCAGATTCCTTTCAGTTAAACAATTTGAGTATCATTGTTGATGATAAGTTTAGGTTATACCCTCAAAAACAAGGTCCCGATGAGCTACGGAAGTCTCTAATTGGCCGAGAGCAAACAAAAACAAAACGTTGCGCTTTTGCACCTGTGTGCGGATATCCGACCTGTCAGAGGAATTTCAGAACAAACAAAACAAATCAACTCAGTCAAAGAGTCGAAGCTAAACCCAGCACTGATTTCATTTCAACCTGTCGGTGCACCCGCTGTAACTGTGCCCTTTCAACGCAGGATTGATAGACCTCTTTTTTCATAGGGGAATTATTAAGTTTGCCCACAAAACCAGTGCAAATAACTCAGCGCTGACCCGCCGGATGGCTTTGGAAGGGCAACCTCCCATAGGGAGGGCGTTCAGAGCTTAATTATAATGTCAGGAGACACTTTCAAAGTAGTCCGAGATGAGAGTCCACTCCAATGGGAAACCCGAGCCGATCGTCTTTCCCAGTTCAAGGCAAACTGTTGAATGGGATCAGACACAAGGAATCACAGTGAGTCAAAGGGGACCCATAAAGAACAGTGCATGGGGGGTCGTCTTTAACAGTTTGCATGCACTAAAATTGTAATGGTACAAGAACATGAGCTATATTAATACATGTTCTCACAGTTTAGCCGAAAGAAAATAGAGCAGTTATGTTAATGACATTACGATCGAGATCAAGAGCAGGCCAGAGAATCATTACGTCTGATTCACAGCGACTTGCATCACTTAACTGTTTTTTTTTTTTTTTTTTTTTTTACATAATAACAGATTTAGTTTATTAAAAAATTAAAGAATAAATGTAATTACACTTCTATTCAAAAGTTGGGGTTTACATTTATTTGGGGTTACATAAATCGGCATTGATATGATCAAAAAAGTTTGATATATTTTTACAATTTTTCTTTAAAAGTTTTAACTTTATTAAGTTAAAATACATTATATATTTCTAATCTTTAAAATGAATAAATGTTTGAGTTTCTTTTTTGTTTTAATGACTCGAATGGGTTGATTCAATGAACGAAATGACTCGAAAAAAGATTTGTTAATTTTTATGGTATTTTTGGTCGTTATAAACTATTTTATTTCAGTTTCATTTGTTAAAATAGTTAATGATCACAACTATTATTATTTTTTGAGCCATATTTGATTTAACCAAGATAAACCAATTTACAGAATTTACGACAAATACCACAAAAAAGGATTTCATGTGATACGTGAAAACAACAACAAAAAGTTACGATATTATATTTTTTCCCAGTGATATCATCTTCATCCACCGTGTATTATTATTATTATTTTTATTTTAAAATATTAGATTAAGATTAATCACATCCTAAATAAGTTTGTGTTAATATGTATATATATATATATATATATATATATATATTATATATATATATAAATGCACAAATATGCATGTATATATTAAAGAAATGTATATTATATTTAAATATTGTAACACATTTTTCTTAAATATATACATGCATAAAAAGTTACATTTTTGAGTTGCTGTTATATAAAAATATATTAAAAGTTGTTTTTTTCCACACATATTTAAACATCATTTGTGTTTTTCTTTGCTTTTTGAATAAATAAAACAGATTTTTGTGATGCATTTTTTTCCCAGGATTATTTGATGACTAGAAAGTTCAAAAGAACAACATTTATGTTAATTATTTTGTAACAGTGTAAAAGTTCAATTCAAATGCATCCTTGCTGACTAATTATACATTTCTTTCAAATGTCAGTCAATGTAAATAGGCAATGATAAAATAGTTAAATAAAACAGTTACGCTGCTTCAGATTTTTGTGATGCATTATTTTTTCCAGGATTATTTGATGACCTTTTGAAAAGTAAGTCACTTGCATGTTTTGTGTCTGATTTCTCCCAGTGTTTAGCGTCTCGCTGAGCCGAAGTGGTTTGGTGCCGGCCTCCCCGAAGCGGCAGCTGGCCGGGATAAGGTTACGATTTCACCTGTGCACTGCAGCGGCGCAGGAACTGGCGTGTCATTGAGGAGCGGGTAATTATTCAACACGTCAGACTGCAATGCCTGCAATGTTAATTACGCCGCGGGCTGAGAGATTAAGCCTGGGAGCAGAGGCTCATTACGGGCACACCAGTGCAACATGTGCTCTCCCCAACACTCCCAGTTCCACCAGATCACACTTTATCATTCCCACACCAGGTTTGATTTTACGTCAGATGCGTAAGATTTTACAACTGAGCACGTAAAATACATTCGATGTGTTTGCTTGTGACGAAAATAGAAGTGTGTGTTAGTGTGGGGTTAAAGAAATGCTCCAGGTTCAACATGTCAACGGTTAGGTCCACATTCTGGGTCCCTCAGATAAACTTTAACCCAATAAACATGCCCAAAGCACAAAAGTACAAAGCCTATAAAAACAAGAAAAAATATAGAAATATGCACTTGCTTACATAAAAGGGAGAACATTTATTAAACCAATTGCACGCACAAAAGAACATAATGTACACATATAGACATGTACTTTACATGAACAAGCTGTCTATCTGTCTGTCTGTCTATCTGTCTGTCTGTCTATCTATCTATCTATCTATCTATCTATCTGTCTGTCTGTCTGTCTGTCTGTCTGTCTGTCTGTCTGTCTCTCTCTCTGTCTGTTTATCTGTCTATCTATCTACACACACACACACAAGCCCACCCACCCTCTATAGGTGGCTGATTGCAGATGTTATCACAGTGAGTCCTCGGGTTCATCTCCACAGATCCCCGTCTGTGAGAGATATACGGCCGTCTTGACACATTGACATCATTCCTTAAACATCTGCTGCTTAAAAACGGCGACATTTGTGGAGAAGCGGCGTTCCAACAAGGCCGTAATCATTTACTCTATCGCTCGGCGAGAGTTATAGTACAGAGGCGCACTAATAAACCGCCGAGGCCTTTCCCCTTCCACTTTATAGAGTTCTGTGAAATCGCCCTGATAAAATTAAACACTTGCCATCTCTTTGACAGACGCATTATACACACAGACGTTATGAATGAAACTTTTTTTTTTTTTTTTTTTTTTGATTCGAAATGATTTGCAATCTTGCTTAAGACATCAAACTGTCAGCTCATTCATCTCTCTGGTAAAAGGGCTTTTGAAGCAGTAAAGATATGAACACTGGGGGGAAAACTTTATACAATTTCCACTCGAAATAGGAAGCTCGGTCCTTCTGGGAGACACTAAATTGAAACTAAGGCTGTTTCTGATGGACCACAGGATATGCCTGCAAATTTAGACATATCACAATGGCAAAAAAGTCTGTTAGTGCCCATTCATATAAACTGAATGCTTGTAATGTTCTTGGCCCCTCGGAGGATTCTCGCAAGGTTGAGCAGCGACAGCAGGAAGAGCTGAATGGTTTTGACATAACTTTATTTTAGTGCTCTACAGGTTTTCTCTCCTCCCTACGGTTTAATGGTGTATTCCACCGGGGTCCCGAAAGGAAGCGGACAAAGCTTTGCTGCTCGACCTCGATGTCATTTCAAGATGAACGGGAATTTAAGGCTTTTTCACACATTGCATTTTTTCTTTTGTTAGAAAGACAGTCACCTTTATTTATACAGCGCTTTTTACAACACAGATGTTTTCCAAAGCAGCTTTACAGATGAAATTAACGCGACAAACTTTATGTTTATCAATAGCATCACAGTCCAGCTTAAGTAAGCTCAGTGATGGATACTTTAGTTGTAAAAAAGTGATTCATTTAGTTCATTTATATATATATATATATATATATATATATATATCTGGAGGAACCATGATGTCATCGTCCAGTTCACTTCCCATATAATGCAGTCAATGCAGGAGATCAATAATATACATTACGATATTACATTATGTTGAATATTACATTACACTCTAAACAATGCTGGGTTGTTTGAACCCAAATTTGGCTAAAATATGGACAAACTCAAATGTTTTTCACTTTCACTTTCAACTGTAAATTTTTTATTCCATTTTTAACCCAACATTTGAGTTTGTCCATATTTGACCCAAATTTTTTTTAGAGTGTAATGTCCCCAATTAAGCAAACCATAAGCCAATGGTGCCAAAGGCGAAAAGAGGTGGAAAAAAAAGGCGACAGACTGTATGATTAATGGACATAAAAAACAAATCTCGATACACCTTCTGCAACAAATATAAATATAAGTATACAATACTGGGTTGTTTTAACCCGAATTTGGGTCAAATATGGACAAACCCAACTATTAGGTTAAAATTTTTATTTAAAAATGTAACCCAAAGGCTAGGTTCGTCCATATTTGACCCAAACAACCCAGCATTTTTTAGAGTGTAATGCAAAATAAATTATATTATTATATAACATTTAAAAAAAAATATTTTACTGTGAAATATTACAACAGTATTACTTCTTATTTGGGCAAATATTATAGTAAATATTAATATTATTTTATAGCCATATTTACATTATATAATTATACAATTACTACAGCAAACCTGGATTTAAATTTAATTTGCATTCACAATTTTAATCATGAAAATTGCACACAAAAAATAGTGTGTGTGTGTGGGGGGGGGGGGGGGATATATATTACAAAAATTTAATTACATTTTAAACTATCAGATTATATATAGATTGCAGTCAGAGCGATAATTAACACTATTTAAAACTATTTGTTCAACAATTTTACCCTAAATTATTATTTTTTTGTCAAAAATAGTGATGAACAGCAGCATTTAACAAATTGTTATGATAGTAAAATATATATTAGTGTAATATTTTATATTAGGGAAAACATATCTCACTAGCATATTGACTGTTTATTAGTAACTTTTAAAGTACATATTAATGCCTTATTCTGCATGACCATATTCTACATCCCTTAATTGATCCCATAAATAACATAACTACTACAACTACCTTACACTACCAATAAGCAGTAATTAGGAGTTTCTTGAGAGAAAACTCCTATAGTGAATATGTGCTCCATATTAGGGGTGGTGATGGCACAGTGGATAAGACACATGCCTTTGGTGTGAGAGACCCGGGTTTGAATCCACTGTGAGACACCAATGTGTCCCTGAACAAGACACTTAACCCCTAGTTGCTCCAGAAGCGTGCGACCTCTGACATATAGCAATTGTAAGTCACTTTGGATAAAAGCGTCAGCTAAATGTAAATATAATAAAGTGTTACCAATATTATTTGGTGTATCGCTACAAAAAGATGCCACACAATAATTTGTGCAAGCAATGATTCTTTTTTTGCACTGATTCATTTTAAACTGATTCACTGAAATGATTCACTGCACTGCAGAAGATGTGTGTGTACACTGTAAAAAAATATTGATGGTTTAACTTAAAAAATATGTAACCTGGTTGCCTTAAAATTTTAAGTTGATTGAACTGGAAAAAGTGAGTTAATAAAATGAAGGAGAATGATTTAACCATCAGAAACTCAAAATTATATGTTATCTGAACTAAATAAATTATTTAAGTTGATTTGACAAAAGAAAAAATGTTGTGATTACTACACTGTAAAAAAAATATTGTTGGTTTAACTTAAAAAAGTAAGTAACCTGGGTTGCCTTAAAATTTTAAGTTGATTGAACTGGAAAAAGTGAGTTAATACAATGAAGTAGATTAATTTAACCATCAGAAACTCAAAATAATAAGTTATCTCAACTAAATAGTTGATTTGACAACATTTGTGATATCAAATCTTGAAAATATTCTTTACAGTGTAGATACTCTCTATTTTGTGGAGACGTTGCTAAAATAAAATAAAAATGATTGAAATTGTCGGCATGTTTAAATCTGAATTGGTTTAATGTCCCACACATGTGAAGTGGTTTGAGCACTCAGGATTGATATGTTCAACTGTGTTTGCGTTGCATCGACGTCTGTGTACTTGTGTACGGTGTGTTTCTTCACTCAGGTAGATATAATGAGCGGATCTGATGCTCTTGCCAGCCCAGTTTGACAATTTCCTTTTATTTTATTACTTTTAAAAGTACAGTAAATCAAGTCAGGGGACGCGGCGGCCCAAACGGCTGCTTCGTGTGTTATACAGTCGTGCTGCGGCGTTATTTTCTGTGTGTGTGTGTGTTTGCTTTACAGGCTCTTTTCTCGAGTGTGTCATAGCATGATGCATTTGGATGTAACCCGAACTATCCATGCAGTCATATGGTGAACGAGTATCAGAGATTATTAGCAGGCCTGTGGTGGGACATGTGATACTCCGCCTGAAACTATTTTAAACACCTTTTTTTTTTAAATTATCACACATGCAGCTTTTATTATGAGCTCATATTAATTGAGAGACTGCATGGAATATTTAAAAAATTAATTTATCACACCACAGACCGTTATAATGAACTAGGGAGGGGAAAAAAGGTACAAATGTTCACGTTTATTGCATGACTGAATCATCTGACTTCATCAGGCTGATCTGGGATCTGGCACTCGTTTTGCTCTTTTTAATTGGAAAGATTTTCTTTTGCGCCAGTTTCAGAAACGTTCAGCATGGGTGCAGATTTATTGGCCTGTAAATGACACGGTTTGTTGTGTGTGTTTGTGTGATTGTGAGTATATGGCACAATCTCACACACACGCTGCTTGTTAATGATTGAGGTTGAGGTTAATAGATATTTTATTAAAGTCATTAAGCTGCATTCAAGTCCTCGTGGAAAAGTATTTAAAATAAAATGATTGATTTAATTTTTTTTTTTTTTTTAGAAAAACATTTTAGTTCTGATGTGGATAAGCAAAACGAAGAAGAGCAACTAGCTGAAATAAAGTGAACAAAATGAACAAATCTTTTTCCGAGTCATTTGGTTCATTCAACGAACGAAATGAACGAGTTGACTCTGGAAAAGATTCGTTCATTTTGAGTTTAAACAGGAGAGTCACGAACAGAGCAAGGCGAGCATTTGAGCTTATAAAACTTATTTTTTTTTAATTTTTTTATTAAATGAGCGATCGTTTCGCTAGATAAGACCCTTATTCATCGTCTGGAATCGTTTAAAGCCCTTTGAAGCTGCACTGAAAGTGTCTTTTGGACCTTGAACCGTTTGGACCCCATTGAAGTCCATTATATGCATAAAATCCTGGAATGTTTTCATCAAAAACCTTAATTTCTTTTCGACTGAAGAAAGAAAGACACGGACATCTTGGATGACATGGGGGCGAGTAAATTATCAGCAAAAGTTTTTTTTTTTCAATGTGTGAAAAAAGTGAACGACTCCTTTAATATTGGGTGCAAGTTAGTTGACATAGGCCTATTTTTATTTATTTTTTAAGTAACAGTTACATTCCCTGGTAATTAGTTACTTTTATAATGATTTAACTATTTGTAAGAAGTAACTACTTTTTTTAAGTAACATGCCCAACACGCTGAAGTGTAACGCTTGTGTGTGTTTGGTTTCCAACTATGCTTTCCTCGTTGGTATTTCAGGTTTGTGTTGGACGACCCTCAGCGCATCTGCACATAAATATCAAGCACTTATCAGTGCTCCCGTGAGAGCGCTCATGCTAATCTGCCAAATTACCTCTTAACCGTCATGAAACGTTAATGCGTTTAACAACATTTCCTCTGCAGATTGCGGGCTGATGGATGTGACACGGCAGCCGGACTGCGGATGTTTTCTGTTGTTTTTTCCTCCGAAAAATTGTGTTTCCTCCGTGACCTTGTAGACTCGCTGTTCGATGGCCGGAGAGGTTTCCATCAGGGACCCGTACGAGTCTCCGAACGCCCGTAAACATGGGGTCTGATGTTCTGCGCGCACAGCTTGAGGATCTGAATGGAGAAAGCTATGAAAACACCCTGGGTTATTCCGTGTGTCAGGATGTAAAAAGAGGAATACAAACTAATTTATCACGAGGCTTTTACAGCCCCTTCATGGCCCATATTTTGCATGGGTTACGATTCCCAGACCTCCTTTGTCCCATATTATCAGATTCACAACACACTGAGCTCTGTGTTTCAATAACTTTATAACGTGTGACTCCACGCCGTGCGTTCACTCTTTGAACGCGGGCCCATGAAATGAGTAACTTCTTTTATAATATTAGTACATCGAGTAATGGAACACAGTAAAAGAGATTTACTTTCATAATTCCTGTTCCCGGTTTTACTGCGTATGATTCATCTGTGCACGTTATGGAGAAAAATGTTAATCCGTAACTACTTATCAGACATCACTGGTTATGATAATCAGACTTCACTGTTAATTAACCATTGCACAAATTAGCCATTGCTAAAGGCATTGCATTCATGCTTGAGATGTCGCCCGCTTTTCTTATAATTCAGGGTTTCCCAAACTTTCTCGTCAGACAAACCACTTTGACCTAAAATAAAAGTCCCCCCTGAGAGTTTAAGTTTATATTTTAACAATTTATCAACTCACCGACCTATTCGAGGCTCTCTGATGCTGGTTAATGGTCACATGACATGCAGGTAAACACATTTATATATATATATATATATATATATATATATGAATAACTGTTAGACAGGAGGGAAGGCCAGGTATATTTGGGTTTATGTGAGGATTGTTTGAAGTTCACTTAAATTAAAAGTTGTTATATTTTTAAAGCCAATAAATGTTTTTAATACACTGTAATGTTAAATTGCTAGTATTAATGTTTAAAATTGGGGGAGATGTCCATAGCTGTATTACTATCAGTGACCTTCATTCATAAAAAGATGCCATCAAATATATTGTATTTATGTGTGTGTTTATTATATATATATATATATATATATGATATGATATGTAGTCAAACAAAACTGTACTAGCTGTACTTTGCTTTGCTTTTTTTGCTAAATATTTATGTAAACGAAATACCTTAACTACGTTTAGTGTTTTATACTTCCATCATATTTTAAATATATCAAATATTTTCCTCATATTTTGATTATCTAATTAAACTTGTAGGATCATAAAAGACAAATATCCCCTCTGGATAACACTTATATAGCATATAGATATATATAAAACATTATTTTAAGCTATACAGGTGAAACTCGAAAAATTATAATATGATGCAAAAGTTCATTTATTTCAGTAATTCAACTTAAAAGGTGAAACTAATATATTATACAGACTCATTAGATGCAAAGTGAGATATTTCAAGCCTTTATTTGTTATAATTGTGATGATTATGACTTAGCTTATGAAAACCACAAATTCAAAATTAGAACATTGTGAACATTTCTTTCATATCTGTAAGACAAATTAACAAAATTATAACAAATAAAGGCTTGAAATATCTTACTTTGCATGTAATGAGTCTATAAAATATTAGTTTCACCCTTTAAGTTGAATTACTGCACTGTAAAAAAAAAAAATATTGATGGTTTAACTTAAAAAAGTAAGTAACTTGGTTGCCTTAAAATTTTAAGTTGATTGAACTGGAAAAAGTGAGTTAATACAATGAAGGAGATTAATTTAATCATCAGAAACTCAAAATAATAAGTTATCTCAACTAAATAAATTATTATAAAGTTGATTTGACAAAAGAAAATATATTGTGATAACAAACCTTGAAAATATTCTTTACAGTGTGAAATTGATGAACTTTTTAAATTTAATTTTCAAGTTCTATATTCAAATTTTTTTATTCTATATTCTAATCTAATATTCTAATTTTTCAAGTTTCACCTGTATAGCTTAAAGTAATGTTTTATATACAGATATATAATGCTATATAAGTGGGGAAAAGTGGGGATATATCTTTTATGACCCTACAAGTTCAATTAAACAATCAAAATATGAGGAAAATATTTGATATATTTAAAATATGATGGAAGTATAAAACACTAAACTCTCACCTGTAAATCTGAAGAATGATAGTAGTTTTGAAAGGCGTGGAGTGAGTTATTTAAGGCTGACATCTCTACTTTACCTGCTTCTAGACACTAACTATTGCATCTCGGCCATATGGGAAGGCAATCCTGGAAGTGTTTCAGTGGATTCCTCCCGGCGCCGTCACTGCACTTCCTACGGCTGATTTACGGCTCAGGTTCGTCTGTTCCCTTTTGTAGAATTATTTACTGTGTATATGTTTGTAGGGATTATAAAGGAGGGGGGAGGGGGGTATACGTTCATACGCACTGCAAACATCACACCCGTTTTGTTTCCTTTCTTTTTTTGACGCATCTTAACGGAGGATTTATTTCAAGATGGAATAAAATACTGAATTCTCAATATCAGCCGTGGAAATAAACTCCCTCGCGCCGGGATTCGTGCTCGGATAATAATTCAAAACGGCCCGAACACTGGTTGCATTTATTACCGTTTCCACAATGATGCGTCTCGCTGGCAGGATCCTGCCATCAATTTTAGTACTATTAAATGTTTCTAACGGGAGATGACAAATATTTGAACGGAGCTGCTTGTCTTTGGCCGGAGAGAGTCAAAGGAAAATCCCTGGCCTTGAAAAAACGAGGGCCAATCCCATTCATCTCAATTACGCCTGAGAACGATCTCAGTCCGTTTAAATGGTGTGTTGGAAATGCAGCGAGCTTCAGGGCAGTTGCAGCGTTTTTATGAGCGCAATAAAGAGTCGTTCCGTACTGACCGGTGTGAGGATGTGTTTACGTGCTTGTCTTTAACGAGGGCATATTGAGTGACGGTTTGCTGTAAAAGCCGCCGCGATTGGCCAAAACGACGAGAGATCAAGAGAGCGTTCTTTAACGCACATTTAAGGTCGTGACCCGTGTGGCTGCATGTGTGGGAGCTGGTTTCACCACAGAAGAAAACAGTTTAAAAGATAATTGCCACTTTTAATCTCATAATTGTGAGTTTATATCACGCAATTCTGACTATATCATGCAATTCTGACTTTATATCACGCAATTGCGACTATATATCAAACAATTCTGACTTTATATCACGCAATTGCGACTATATATCAAACAATTCTGACTTTATATCACGCAATTGCGACTATATCATGCAATTCTGACTATATATCACACAATTCTGACTATATATCACGCAATTGCGACTATATATCAAACAATTCTGACTATATATCACGCAATTCTGACTATATATCACGCAATTGCGACTATATATCAAACAATTCTGACTATATATCACGCAATTCTGACTATATATCACGCAATTCTGACTTTATATCTCGCAATTCTGACTTTATATCACGCAATTCTGACTTTATATCACGCAATTCTGACTTTATATCACGCAATTCTGACTTTATATCTCGCAATTCTGACTTTATATCACGCAATTCTGACTATATATCTCGCAATTCTGACTATATATCACGCAATTGCGACTATATATCACGCAATTCTGACTTTATATCACGCAATTCTGACTATATCACACAATTGCAACTATATATCACGCAATTCTGACTTTATATCACGAATTTCTGACTATATATCTCGCAATTCTGACTATATATCACGCAATTCTGACTTTATATCACGCAATTCTGACTTTATATCTCGCAATTCTGACTTTATATCTCGCAATTCTGACTTTATATCACGCAATTCTGACTATATATCTCGCAATTCTGACTATATATCACGCAATTCTGACTTTATATCACGCAATTCTGACTTTATATCTCGCAATTCTGACTTTATATCACGCAATTCTGACTATATATCTCGCAATTCTGACTATATATCACGCAATTGCGACTATATATCACGCAATTCTGACTTTATATCACGCAATTCTGACTATATCACACAATTGCAACTATATATCACGCAATTCTGACTTTATATCACGAATTTCTGACTATATATCTCGCAATTCAGACTATATATCACGCAATTGCGACTATATATCACACAATTCTGACTTTATATCACGCAATTCTGACTATATCACACAATTGCAACTATATATCACGCAACTCTGACTTTATATCTCGCAATTCTGACTATATATCACGCAATTGCGACTATATATCACGCAATTCTGACTTTATATCACGCAATTCTGACTATATCACACAATTGCAACTATATATCACGCAATTCTGACTTTATATCACGAATTTCTGACTTTATATCACGCAATTCTGACTATATCACGCAATTCTGACTATTTCACGTAATTGTGACTATATCACGCAATTCTGACTATATATCACGCAATTGCGACTTTATATCACGCAATTCTGACTATATATCATGCAATTCTGACTATATATCACGCAATTATGACTTTATATCACACAATTGCGACTATGTATCACGCAATTCTGACTATTTCACGTAATTGTGACTATATCACGCAATTCTGACTTTTTAACACAATTGTGACTTTATATCTCGCAATTCTGACTTTAACACACAATTGCAAGTTTATATCTCACAATTGCGACTAAATCACGCAATTCTGACTTAATAAAAGACAATTGCCACTTTATATCACAAAATTCTGACTTTATAACACAATTTTGACTAAATCACACAATTCTGACTTTATTAGACACAAATGCCACTTTATATCTCTGAATTCTGATAAAAAGTCAGAATTGTGAGATAAAAAGTCGCAATTACCTTTTTTATTTTTCATTCTGTGGCGGAGACAAGCTTCCACAGGGATGAGCATTAACACACTGGTTTTGCTGAATGGCTAACAGACGGTGTCCCCTCAGTCCTGTCAGCCCGACTGCAGGCGCCGACCCACCGACTCAAAGGAATGGCCGTAATTTTCCTTCTTGCATCTTAAAAATCAACGGCCAAAAAGCTGGGAAAGTTTACCAGCTAGATCTTGTGGTTCACCCTGTTTCAATCCAGCCACAACGCCACACTGTAATAGAAAGACGCCCGTCGGTGGGAGTGAGGACTGATTTATGTCCGTGTTTACTGATAACTCTCATATGACGGCACTTACCGGTCACAGTTCGGCACTGGACATTCATTCCCAAATATGATTCCGATAGACAAGATGATGGGAATCCCTGAGGACGGGCTGTATTTATTGAGGTTAAACACTGCAGTGGACCTCATCTGGAGTCATGTGATTTGGGAAAACAGATGGTTCATGGTCACGGTGTGTTTAGACATTGAAACAGTTTGGTTTCACGGTGCTTTTTACGTCTGTTTTGCTTTTAGGATTATGTCTTATTCCTGCAGAATAGCAGCATCTTTTTTAAGATTTTCAGTGTTTTTTTTACACTGTAAGCTTATAATTATAACAAAATAATTACAGTTATGAAAATTATTTATTTTTTTATATGTGTGTGTGTATATATATATATATATATATATATATATATATATATATATATATATATATATTGTTTGTGTGTGTGTGAAAATGAAAATGGCATACACTTCCCTAGAATTAACATGTTATATATAATTATGAATTTATTCTTAATTTTTTTAAATCCATATTTATTATAAACGTCAACAATACAAATATAAAATAATAAAAAAGTGTATATATTTATATGTGCAGAATATTGCTTAAAAATCACAACCAATAACATTTTTATATATAATTATCAATTTATTTATGTATGTATTTTAATGTCATTTTAAATAAAAAATGATAATGTAATTTTTAATATATATATACACATTTTATACACATCATTTTTATTTGATTCTGGTTATAAAATAGCGATAAACCAAAATGAAGATTAAATAGTTTAAATTAATTAATTGATTAATTTTAAACTAGAAATGCCTGTCAAAACTTTGTTTGATATATTATATAGTATTTGCAAAGTATTTTCTACAGTAAATTAATATTCATCTGCTTATGTGTGCATGCCCTCAACATTTTATTTTTTATTAAATGTAACGTACAAGATGAAGAATTTATATTGCTCCTATAATAAAAGGCCTAACGTTACTCTGGATGTCAGCAATCTTTAAAGTCCTGGAACGGCAGTGGACTCAGACTTTGACGAGGTCAAAAAAATAATGTCTTGTTTTAACTGGGAGCGGTTCTCAAATAATCTGCAGTTTTTTATCCATCTACACTGGCAGAAACCCTACAGCCTCGTCCTGCACGTGCACGACGAAGTGACATGAATAAACGAACAGTGATTCTACATCTTAATAAGGTTTAAATTGTGGTTGGGATATTGTAGGATCATGTCGTGGGACGCCGGGTCTCACACATGGCTTGAATGAAGAGTCCTTCGAGACCGTCGTATGGACACCGAATGAGCACAGAAATCTTTTACAACGATTGACCAGTTCTCCAAAACGCTCTACATCTGCTTAAATCGAGACTCGACCCGAGGGCTTTCAGTCCTATTACAATGAAACCTCTCAAGTTATTTTCATTATGGTGCTTAAAAGGGATATAGAATCAGTTTTACAGTTTTTTTTACAGCTGTGTTTTATAAAAAGGGTTTTAAAAAGTGCTTTTTATCTCATGAATTCCTGGGAAAGATCTCCACCTGGGTCCGACGACAGCGAATCCCTCAGAAGTGACCGTTTGTGCTAGCGTTCGGCCGTTAGTACGTTTTATCTTAAATTGGATCGTGAACTCCACACTAGAGGCTTAGTTAGTTTGTAACTAACTCCATTTGTTTTATAATTTTTATTTTTCCATTACCGGTACCCCTAGCTGGCATTTTAACGTCGAGTCACAGTTGATATTGGATAACCGTTGAATTTTCAGGTTGTAGTCTACAAATAATGTTGATTTGGCGGCGTACAACTCAAAATTTTGTAGTGAGTCAACAGCACCACTTCAACTATTTGGTGTTCAACGTTGTTTTGACATTGAATTCATGTTTTTTTTATAAACTGACATTATTTTAACAACATTTAAACGTTTAATGTCAGTCGAATGCCAGCTTGACTCGGCTCGCTTTTCGCTCCGTTTTCCATTGCAGACAGTACACTGTAAAAAATATCTGTGATTTTAACAGTAAAAGACTGTAAAAATGCTACAGTGCAAAACTGTTAATTGGTTAACAGAAAGTTTCCATACTTTATACGGTAAATAACTGTGATTTAATTTTACTGTAAAATACTGTTAAATTTACAGTTTTTGAAAGTG